GAGGCGTCCACCTGGGCGGGGGGCACTCAGGTAAGGGAGGCGTCCACCTGGGCAGAGACAAAGTCTGAGCACCTGTAGTCCCAGCTACTCGGGAGGCTGTCCCCACGCTGCCCATCCCCAGCTAGCCCTGGTCTGTGATGTCCACCCGATGCGGTGCCCATCAGCAGGTGCCGGACGTGCTGTCTCTCTCTTGTCTCCACAGATGTCAGGAGTGCAAACACGTGGCTGCTGTTCCTCCCGCTGTTCCCGGTGAAGGTGACGACTCAGATGGTCGTGGTCATCGGGGCAGCCGTGTTCCTGCTGGACCTGCTTGGCTTGCTCCTGCTAGGGCAGCTGCTCCTGTTCCACATCTACCTGAGTACGTCCCCTGCCCCCCGAGCCCCCCGAGATCCCGAGCCTGGGTGGTCAGAGCTGCTCATCTTCCACATCTACCTGAGTACATCCCCCGCCCTGGGCCCCCCACATCTGAGGCCAGATTCTTTGCCGCCTCCCCCACCGCCCGTGTTCGCTTGTGTTCACGGTCAGCCTCTGCCAGAAATGAGATCATGGGAAAAAAGGGGAAATCACAGGAAGAAATGAAATCCGTGAGGGCCCAGCAGACCCAGCAAGGAGCTGAACTCACACCTGAGCCCTCAGGAGCGGTGCTGGGTGCTTGAAGTAACAAGTTTAAAATGTTCAGAGACAAAGGAGTGGTATCTATGAGGCAAGAACAGGACATTATGAAATAAGAACAGGTGGACTAGGAAGAGCACCAAGTAGAAATTCCAACAACAGAAAGTACTACGGGCAGGTTGCCCACTAACTACACAAGTGAGGCAAGAGCTGGCGGTCCTGCTGAGTCTCATGGTGGGCACAGCGGCAGGTGGTGGAGGTGAGAGCTTCTGGTCCTGCTGAGTCTCACAGTGGGCACACTGGCAGGTGGTGGAGGTGAGAGCTGGCGGTCCTGCTGAGTCTCACGGCGGGCACACTGGCAGGTGGTGGAGGTGAGAGCTTCTGGTCCTGCTGAGTCTCACGGTGGGCACAGTGGCAGGTGGTGGAGACGACAGCTGGTGGTCCTGCTGAGTCTCACGGTGGGCACAGTGGCAGGTGGTGGAGGTGAGAGCTTCTGGTCCTGCTGGGTCTCACAGCGGGCACAGCAATGGGCAGTCGAGGCCAGAGCTGCTGGTCCTGCTGCATCTTGTCTCACTCGGGCACAGTGGCAGGCGGTCAGTCATGTTGCTGAATGAGGGGGGGCAACGTCCTCCCCACCCCCAAGGAAGCCTGTTTTTGGAAGAAACAGCCACCTGCCTCCTCCTGCTGTTTGGTCATGGCGGGTCAGCCGTTCAGTGTCCTTCATTCTCTGAGCAGTGGCTGCCTGGGCTGTGGCATCTCAGGGGGTGTCTCTGGGCATGGGCAGCAGAGTGTGTCCAGGCCCAGCCCCCGATAATACCTGTTCTGACAGCCTGGCCAACCCCAGGTCAGAGCGGAGGGCGTCGCGTGGGCTCACCTAGACCACTCCATCTCCGGAACAGCCCCGGCCTGCAGCTGTGGCGAGAAGGCCCAGCTGAGAACGAGCATGCCCCACCAGGAGGCTCCTATTCAAACCACAGGTTACCCCACAGCCCACTGTGGCACAGAGCCTGGGAGTGTTTTCTAGCAGCAGTCACTGTTGTCTTGCCTGAGGCTTGAATTGTTTCCTAATGAAAGTGCAGCGGGCCAGGCGCAGTGGTGCACGCCTGTAATCCCAGCACTTTGAGAGGCCAGTGCGGGGGGATCACGAAGTCGGGAGATCAAGATCAGCCAGGCCAACATGGTGCAACCCCGTCTCTACTAAAAATACAAAAAATTAGCTCGGCATGGTGATGTGTGCTTGTTATCCCAGCTACTTGGGGTGGGAGGCTGAGGCAGGAGAATCGCCTAAACCCGGGAGGCAGAGGCTGCAGTGAGCCGAGATCACACCACTGCACTCCAGCCTGGGCGACAGAACAAGGGTCCATCTTGGAAAAAAAAAGGAAGAAAGTGCAATGCAGACGAATGGATGAAACCTACGGACGCAGCGCTGAGTGTGATGCTTTCAGAGTTTTAGTTCCAGCTGTCAAGGCCCGTGCCTGCATCGAGCAGGTGCTCGGGGTATGTTTACTGAACGGAATGGAAGCCTCAGCCGTGGCTCACAGAGGAGATGCCCGGGCCGCCCCTTCCTGCAGCCTGGACCCTTCAGAGTGAGGGTCCTTTGGGCCTCCTTCAAAGCTCTCCACCCCTCTTAGAACCAGCAATGGTTTGTAAAGTACTTTCTAGAATTATCTAGAAATCTCTCTGTTTAAATTTTTTGAAGGCTTTTCTGGAGTTTCATCTCACCCAGAATTTATCATCTCTCCTTATCAGGAAGCCTGTCCCCCTCAGACGCCCAGATGAGCAAGTTTCCCACAACGTGAGACTCAGCTGGGCTCAGGCCGTCCACAGGGCACATCTTGGGGCCCACGTGGTTTTTTCCACTCACGCCGCAGGTGAAGAGATGCCCAGACTGCCCAGGAATGCAAAGTCTGCACTTGTCAGTTTTTTCCAACTTTGTGCACAAAACGTATTCCTGGGTTAAAATGGAGTAAATACCCACTGTGTGCCGAGTGCGTGGGGGCTGAGGCTCCTGTGGACCGGGCATGGTCACCTGCACGCTGCAGGGAGGGGACAAGAACAAGACGTGAATGTGTGCGGATGGCCTCGTGCTGCGGAGAAGCTGGCCCCTGCCTCAGGCGGTGGGGGGGTGCAGCGGCGGGCATGGGGCAATGAGGAGCTGAGGCACTTCCCCAAGGGTCTGGATGTGGGCAGGGCAGGCACTGAGGAGCGCCGGCCACCTCGTGCCCGACGGCCCGGAGAGGAGCCAGGGCCAGGGAGCTGGCAGGAAGCCTTCTCAGTCATCAAGACGTCATGGCAGGCTCTCAGACATGAGGAAGGGTGGGCTGGGAGCTGTCCTGGATGCAAAACCAACGGCACTTAAAGGCCCACCGAGGTCGCCGTGAGGACGGGGCCTTCGTGGGCCCTGGGTCCCAACCCAGGCGCCTGGGAGTGGATGCTTCTGTGAGCTGAACAAGGGCCAGGGTCCTCTCAGACCCCGACGGAGCCAGGGCTGAATATGTGGATTCAAAGAACAGAGTTCCAGGACAACGGAGGATTATTGTTAGTTGTGGTAAAACTGCCACAGAACGTAGCTGCTCAGAACGGCACCTCATCACCCCAGCTTCTGTCATCAGGGGGCCAGCACCTCTGAGCTGTGTCTCTGCCAGGGTCCCTGGAGAGTCGTCCCCTGGGCACCGGGCTGCGCTCTCATCTGGGGGCCCGATGGGTCGTCTGCCTCCTGTTCCATGAGGTTGAGGCAGCTGTGGAGGGCGGTCCTTGGGGCAAGGTCGCCAGTTCCCATGCAGGCTCCTGGAGGCGCAGCCTGGTGTGCGTGCTCTGTTCATCTGTGGGCAGTGTCGGGTGTGGTCCCTGCTCTGCCTGAGCACCATGGGAGGCTGTGGGGAGCCGGGTCAGAAGCAGCTGCTCACTCAGACTCTGTTTTGAAGCTTGGAGGATAGACCTTAATGAGTCCTCAGTGCTTGTGACGAGGACACGATCTCCTGGGCAGGTGTGTGGTGTGGGGCCGCCTTCCAGAGGTGGGTGGGAGCCACGTGCATGGCAGACAGCAGAGAAAACCTGTTGGATGAGGTCCCGGAAGCACAGCCTTCCCCGTGTCGCCCGGCCCGCCAGGGAGCACTGGCCGCGCTGGAGACCATGGCCCTGCCTGGAGGTTCAACAGCTGCCCTGCAAGCCCTCAAGGTCACCGTGACACTCAGGTTAACTGTTTCCATGGAGCTTGCCCGCACCGTGCTGCCCCCGGGAGCACGGGCACACTGAAGATGTGCTTTTGATGGTGTTTCTGCAGACCTGGGCAAAAGAACATATTTTAACTTGAATATAAACAAGCCTGAGGTTGTGTGCTGAAACCACGACACGTTCTAGAGGGTGTGGAGGACCAGCCAGAGCCATGTGGAGCGGCTCAGGACCCGGCCAGAGCGGAGCACCCGAAAGACTGCAGGCAACAGGCTGTGCTGCCGCGGGCAGCTCCGCGGGGCGCCCACTGCCATCTGCTCCTCACTGCAAATAGGCCTCTGTGGGCGGCCACCTGGCTCTCCAGGAAGAGTCACGAGCCGTCAGCTCTCACGGTGCTGGTGTTTCAGGAAAACAGCATGGAGAGTTTGGCCCTCTGTGGAAGCTCGTGGCTGAAATCGGTGCAGAGCCCATTTTATTAACATTTATTAACACGGCTTTTTAAGATAAACAGGCATCTCGTGTTTTGCTTTGCTTCCCTGGGCTGTTTTACTGCATGCAGGGCCGGCCGGGTGGGTGGGGTGCTGGCCACCCCGCTGAGCTGTCTGTGGATGCTGTGCAGGGCTGCAGGGCCAGTAACCTGTCTCAGCCCCATCAGAGGCTGTGCTGAGTGGCACTTGTGGCACTTGGGTTCACCTCCTGGGCCTGGGGCTCTGAGCACCTGCAGGAGTGTGTGGTCCCAGGTACACCGGCCAGTACCTACGGATGGCTGCTGTACCACATGGTCCTCTGACTTTAGGGCCTCTGTGCCTCCCCCAAAGTGTGCCCATCCATTGTCCAGATGTAAGGACACCCGCAGGGCACTGGACCCTCAGACAGAGCGGCCCCTCCGGAGCTGGCCTCGTACCCCATCAGCAATCCCCGGGGGATCCGGAGCAACCTCTCAGGCTGCGTGGTGTGGGAGGACCCGGGCCCATGAGAGGCTCCTTCTCTTCTGACCTCACTGACAATGCAGCTCAGTGAGGTCTTGGCGGGCGGCGGGATGCGGGCCAGCACCGGTCCCCAGCTAACACCTGCAGACCCCTCTTGCTGACCAGCTGCAGAGCGGGGCCCACGAGGTGCCTGTGCCCGCTCTGGCCTCACAGGGCCTGCGTGGTGGGCAGAGCAGTGCTCCCTGGTGCGCAGGTGGGGCGCTGGCCGCCCTGCTGAGCTGTCGTGTGGGCCTGGTGCAAAGCGGCCGGGTGGGTGACTTGTCCTGTTCCTCCTTTCCCCTTTCTAGAGGTCAAGAAGATGACCACCCTTGATTATCTCACTCAGACCCATGAAGAGGAAGAGAGGTCAAAATGCCAAGCAGAGAGGAAAGGTCCATCCGTGCAAATGGGGGAAGGATTTCTCCAGGTACCACCTGTCCCTGCTCCATTTGTCAAGGCCTGGGACAATGTCCACATTGCTCTGTGGCTGGGAGCTCTCAGCCACGCTCCTGTGCTTCAGTGCTGGTGTGGCCCGTGGACTCTGCTGTGAGTGTGTCTGTGTGTGTGAGGCTGTGTGCATGACGTGTCTTTGTGAACATAAATACCCAACATGCACAGATGACTTCCTAGTGCAAAAATAGTAATGGAACTGAGTTTCTTAAACATTTCTATACTTCATTGTCAATCTTCTAAGGTTGAAGTATGCTTTTTTTTTCTCTTCACCAGCCATAGTGTTAGCACACAGAAGTATGCTTTTTGCGGGTTTTGTTTTATTTTGTTTTGAAACAGACTCTCACCCTGTTGCCCAGGCTGGAGCGAAGTGGTGAAATCTCAGCTCACTGCAGCCTCTGACTCCCGGGTTCCAGCAGTTTGCCTACCTCAGCCTCCCAACTCGCTGGGATCGCAGATCACACTACGTCTAGCTAATCTTTGTATTTTTAGTAGAGGCGGGATTTTGACATGCCAGGCTGGTCTCGAACTTCTGCCTGAAGCTATCCTCCCACCTCGGCCTCCCAAGGTGCTGGGATTGCAGGCATGAGCTGCCGTGCCTGGCCTGAAGCAACGCGTTTTAACTTAAGGTAGTTAGTTCCTTTTCCAGTTAAGTGACTAATTATTATAACTAACTCAAGAAGACATAGAAAAGCTCAGTAGACATAGAACAGCCAAGAGACTGAACTATTGATTTGAAATCTTCCAGTGAAGAAAAATTTCCAGGCACTGAAGTCTTCATGGATGAATTGTGGCAAAGATTTTAAGAAAAAATGTAATACCAACTATATACACACTTTCAGAAAACGGAGAAGGAAGCAACACTTCCCAACTCATCCGGCACTGCCAGTATCAACCTGACACCAAAGCCAGATACTCATAAGCCAATAAACTCCAGAAACACAGGCAAAGGTCACTGACGAGACCCTGGCAAACCAAACCCAGCAGCACAGGGCGGGCCCATGCACCGCAGCCCAGTGCCCCTACTCCAGGGGTGCCACAGTGGCTTCAGGCCCGGACATCAGTGACTGTAGCTCAGCACGTTAGTACAACAGAGAACAGTAACCATGTGATCATGCCAGTCTGCAGAAAAGGTGTGCTACCATGAAGTGCCCATTCATGATTTTAAAAATCTCAGCGACCCCGGAATGATAGGAAAGCATTCTGTGTAGCTGATGTCATACATCCTGGTGAAAGGCTGAGGGCGCTCTCCTCGAGGCTGGGACAGACAGGGACACCCCTTCCCCCGACTTCTGACCTAGCAGGAACATTCTGGGCAGCCCAATGCCGCAGGGAAAATGAAGGTACACAGAACATAAAGTAAAACCATGTTTATTTGCAGGCAACAAAATCCTAAAAAATTATGTTTTAAAACCTAGTTAAGATAATAAAACCGCTTAACAAGGATGTGGGGCACATCTTAAAATACACACTCACACGTCTCTGTACACCAGCAATGAAAAATCTGGGTTGTGTTTTTAAAACTTCGATTCACACTCTTATAAAAAAGAATAAATTCAACAAACCGTGTGCATATACATGCACTGAAAGCTGTACACCATGACTGACAGAAGTCAAAGACAATCTGTTGAATGAAAAGCTCCACAGTATTCATACATTGGAAAAAATACTGTTAAAAGAGCAATTTCCCCCAAAACTGATCTGCAGATTCACCACAATCCTTGCTGAACTCCAGCAGGCTTTTGTTTTAGCAGAAATGACAAGGTGGTGCTAAAATGTCTATCCAAATTTAAAAGACCTAGGCTACCTACTCTATTAGCCAAAACAATATTGAGAAAAAATAAAATTGGGGAACTTACACAGCCAGACCTTAAATTTTACTGTAAAGCTACAGTAATAAAAACGGTGTGGCACTGACATAGAGACAGACATAAAGCTACAGTAATAAAAACAGTGTGGCATTGACAAAAAGAGGGACATAGATAAATGGACCAGAAGAAAGTTCCAAAGTTAAACCTTTCATTTATGGTCAGTTGAGTTTAAATAACAGCACTAAAATAATTAAATGGGGAGAAATTATAGTTTAACAAGGGATATTAGAACAATTGGATGTCCACATGAGAAACACAAAAGAACAATTGAGTTCTTCAAGCCTGTACAAAGATTGCTCAGGGCCACTTCATTCCCCACACAAAAAGTTGGCCCCAAATCTATCTGACACTTAAAAGCTGAACATAGAACACTTCTAGAAGCAAGCGTAGAATGAGATCTCTGTGATCTTGAGTGAGACAAAGCTTTCATTTGATATGACACCAAAATCACTGCCTATGGAAGAAAAAAATCATAGTTTGCACTTTACCAAAATTGAAAATATTTACTCTTCGAAAGTCACCATTAAGAAAATAAAAATACAGGCACACATCAGAGATATTGCAGGTTTTGGTGTAGAATACTGCAATAAAGTGAACATCTCAAGAAAGCAAGTCACATTAATTTCTCTGGTTTCCCAGTGCGTGTAAAAGTTGTGTTTACACTACCCCTGGGCAGCAACATCACGTCTAAAAGCAGTGTCCGTGTTTGAATTAAAAGTGCTTTCTTGCTAAAAGTGGCTTACACAGACACTTGAAGTGAGCACACGCTGCCAGGAACATGGCACCGATACGCCGGGATAACGGTCACTTGCTTGACCAGGGCTACCACAAACCCTAAATTTGTAAAAAAAAAAACCAGTATCTGTGAAATGCAGTAAAGCAAAGCACACCAAAGCGAGATGTTCATTCCTGTGCAAGTCACAGGCAAACAAAATATTTTCAAGTCTTAGACTGATGCCAGAACACACAAAGACACAAAGAGCTTTCAAAGTGCAATTGTAAAAAAAACGCCAGAAACACAGTTTTTTAAATGGGCAACAGGGTTGGGCACAGTGACAAGCATCTGTAATCTCAGTTCTTTGAGAGTCCAGGCAAGAGGATTGCTTGGAGCTAGGAGTTCAAGACCTGCCTGGACAACTGAGAGATGCCCCATCTCAACAAAAATAAATAAAAATACATACATACATAAAATGGACAAAAGATCTGAATGAACTCCTTAACAAGGAAGATATATGGATGGCATATAAGCACATGTAAAAATGCTCAGCATTATTTTACATCAGGTAGCCACAAACTTAAATCACAATCAGATATGACCACAGACCCAGGAGAATGCCTGCCAGCAAAAAGACAGAAGCCACCAAGGTTGGGTAAAGCTGTAGAAAAATTGCAAGTCTCAAGCATGGCTAGTGGGAGAGAAATGAGTGTAAAGTGTCTCATCTGTGGCTAGTGGGAGAGAAATGAGTGTAAAGTGTCTCACCTGTGGCTAGTGGGAGTGAAATGAGTGTAAAGTGTCTCACCTGTG